TGGTGGGGCACATTATGCTGTTTGTCTACCTCCTTTGCAGATAAGGTGCAGTAATGTGTGAGTTAAAATTCTGCCTTAAAGCACAATTGTAGTTTTAATGAAAAATTATAAAAATAAAGTCAGGGTGAATGAAGATAGTAATAGCCCCAGAAAGAAAGCCTGCTGCTGGAGGTCACTCTGAGAGAAAGCAGCAGTCTCTCGACAGCAGTCCGACACACCACGTCTGTAGTCCCTACAGCCACAGCTCTGCACTCAGCAATGCTCACACTCCTAATTTAGATGGGGCAGAGAGGAGAGCACGGCAATAGTAGGCGCTCTTTTAAGAGGTATTATTATTTTTGGATTGCCAGAGTGGGGGAGAAACTCACAATTTATGATTGATATATTTCTGTTTCTGTTTTATCTAAGCTTGCAAAGAAATATGGTGAAGTGTTTAGCGTGAAAATGGGTACAAAACAAATAGTGGTGTTGGCTGGATATGAAGCTGTTAAAGATGCTCTCGTCAATTACGCTGAAGAGTTTGGAGGAAGAGGGAAAACCAGAATATTCATAAACATGGACAAGAATTTAGGTGAGACTGTTTTTTTTGACAGATATGCTTTAAGGCAGGAATAAAAAGCACAATAAAGCTCTGTATTAAATGATATTAAATGACTGTCTTTAAATGCAAGCAGTGTAAGTGCCTCCAATACCTGCTGGAAATGTACGAAGCATCACAAGAAGCCAATCAAGTGTGCTGAAGGGTTATGGATGTAATCCACAGAGAGTACTGTGGTCACTGGTATGTAATGTACAGAGTACAGGAGTCACTGGTATGTAATGTACAGAGTACAGGGGTCTCTGGTATGTAATGTACAGAGTACAGGGGTCACTGGTATGTAATGTACAGAGTACAGGGGTCACTCGTATATATTGTACAGAGTACAGGGGTCACTCGTATGTAATGTGCAGAGTACAGGGGTCAGTGGAACGTAACAGAATAGTGCAGGGGTTAGTGTTGTGTAATGCATAGAGTGCAAGGGACAGAAGTGTGTAACACACAGATTGCAGGGGTCAGGGGAGTAAAATAAATTTCCCTGCAAGCAATACATTCCCCCTTCCCCCCTGAAATGCTACAGCTCTATTCTCTATGCTAACCCTTCTCCTCCAAACACAAGTTCTCTCTGAAAACACAAAATTATCCCCAAACAAAAATGCAAACACATTTCTACCTATTTTAAGTAAAAATCTCCCCCTTTTTCTGAAATTCCCCTTCCCAGCACATATATTTGCCCTCTCAATCCCCTCTCATATAGTTACATACATAGTAGGTGAGGTTGAATAAAGACACAGGTCCACCAGTTTCAATCTATAAAGTTTGTGTGTGTATACTGCTCAGAATTTCAATAATTCTGTATGTTTTTTATTTAATCTTTATTATTTTCATCACAATTAACAGT